ACAAGCGATCATAATTTAGATGATTTGAATGGCTATAATTATGACAATTTGAGCGATCATTTGGAAAATTTGAATTATCATAATTTAAATGATTACAACACAAGCGATCATAATTTAGATGATTTGAATGGCTATAATTATGACAATTTGAGCGATCATTTGGAAAATTTGAATTACAACACAAGCGATCATAATTTAGATGATTTGAATGGCTATAATTATGACAATTTGAGCGATCATAATTTGGAAAATTTGGATTATTATAATTCAAATGTTTACAACACAAGCGATCATAATTTAGATGATTTGAATGGCTATAATTATGACAATTTGAGCGATTCAAATGATTACAACACAAGTGACCACAATTTGAATAATGACCATTACATTATAAATGGTTATTGTCAAACAACCAATGTTAGTATGGAGGGCAGGATTGATTCCGGTACATATTGTGAACCAGGAGGTCTTGTAGCACAGATAGAACAATAACTCTATGGTAAAAAAAAAACTTTGGGATAATTAGGCAAATCAATGTTGATCGATACCGAATTTTTAGGACACTTATTTGAGTTATACTCTAAATGACACCACTGTTTTGTAGGAACCAACTTAAAATGGTTCATAATACAGTGATGTCATTTAGAGTATAAATTATGCATATTCTAAATTTGCATCGGTCACCTGCATATGCACACTAGTGTACTGTACAGACAACTGAGTAGCGGTCGTCAACGATCGCTTAAACATCTCGAAAGCTGTAACGATTATATGATACAATATACGTAAATAAATTTAACTATTTTATTTAACTATTATTTATTTGATCAAAAACTCTATCACAGAATGTACAATATATGCTATATACAGTTACGTGTTATTTAAAAGAATATACGGTAGCGGTGTGTGTTATTACAAAGGAGAATTGTCAATTGGGTTTGAACTTTAGTTCGTCTTACCGTATGCTGGGTAAAAAGTAATACCAATATTTTCTCTAATGCCGTTCTCGAAAATCATTGATCATACATTTCCTTTAATGTTAAAATTTTACAGATTAGCTCAATGCCAGATCATTGTGCCTATATTTAATTAATACATACCACGAGGCAAATAATGTGCACAAAACTCTGGTTTTTTCTTTGACGTTGATGAGCACACTCGCTTTCCGGCTCAAAAAAAGATGGTTGTCTGGTCGGTTCATTAGTTCTTTATTGTCAATATACCCTTTCTGTCCATTAGAAGGCAGAATTTTCTTTCGTTGAACGTAATGTAGACCACAAGCATTTGATCATCAAGAGGATTATTAAAATAATTCTCATACAATGAGCACATACGTCGGTGATTAGCATAATTTTGCTAAGGGAGATCATCCATGTTGTTTTGCAAGTTACTTGCGATTTGCATATACAGCAATTGTTATGCAAGTGCGGAAAATCTATACTGTAATCACTTTTGGATAATCGTTGTTTTGTACAATCACGTAATGTGACTAATGACTTATTATGTTAGGAAAAATTGAAGGTTAGATAATCGCAATTGTGTAGTACAAATCAAGAATGGACGCCCTACAAATTTCCATTATACCTATCGCAAGCTCCAATGGTTGTTTCATCACAAAATAAACGAGGGCGCAACATACATGCAATTCATTACCCCTACACCAATTTGCACCGAATGTAATATTCGATTACTAATTCCGAAAATCACTAATATTTGATTTCCTTGTTGTTACAAAAATCTTTTTTTTCGCGATGTTCATAGTGCAGATTTCAATTCAAGGTCGATCCATTTAGACCTAATTTGGAAGTTTTTAAATGCACACGCTATCACTTAATAAGGTTTGAATGTTCAGTCTGTGTATGCTACAAGATTCACTAGGCTATAATCATAATACTAAGGAAATTGTACCTCAACAGTATAATTAAATGCGTTTCATACAGCGCGAGAATGGAAATCTTCAAATTGGATAAATAAGTGGCATGTGTACTTTAAGAAAAAGTAACTGTCTCTTCATCGTTTTTTCCACCTTCCTAAAAAAAGAAAAAATCAATAATATCTCTCTTCAATTTGACGTCTGGAACGTCGTATTTCCCTTGACGCTGGAGAGTCATTATCTTTCGCAGATTTCTCATTCCTCAAACCCGTGATAATCTAAAAATGAAACAAACATTTTTAGTCACCATCTTCCTTCTCTTATCTATGCTCTTCTACCCATCCTCTTCGACGTTTGTCGTCTCCGACTCACCAATTTTTCCTCCCACCATTCATCCATCTACAAATCTGTTTGCCACCTACTCCCAACTTTCCACTTCTGACGAACATGGCTACCACATTTTCAATCTCCAATTTAACACTACCATTCCTTCCATAAACCTCGATCAAACCAATGGTAGTGTTTCATCAATCGAATGTGATCCGTCTACCAATTCTATCACGTTAATATTATCCAAAGGGTCATCCAAAAGTTTTATTGATGCTGTTGTAAACTGGCCCGATAAAGTTATGCTTCTAATAAGTCACAAATGGTCTTGCTTTGGGAGGTCGACAACTCAATTTTACCTGGTCGGCGATAAAACTGTGGATTCGGTAAACAGAAAAGTAAAGTTCAATTCGGAGCCTTGCGAAGTTCTGAAATGGACAAATGAGTTTTCGTTGAACCTCTCCTGGGTAAATAAATCTAAGCACCGTCAACACAAACATCGTCAGCACAAACATTCTCATCCATCTCATCAACAAAAGCGTGCAACACTAATAGACAAATCAGGTACCATTACTCTTGACGGACTATTTGACCCCCGAACAGGGAAAACCTCTCGTCCTAATATTACCCTGAATTCAGATTTGGTTTGTGCAAATTGCTTCACCCACGGCAGTGCCAAAATTTCACTGAAAATTACTGGGTTTGGACCCATCGTTAATTCCGTTAGTTTAGAGATCAACGGTGATCTCCTTGTAAACATTGATATAACTACCAAGGGAATCACACTTAAATCTCCTGATGTGAACTTACTAGATATCCCAATAACGTTCATTGATATACCAGGTATATTGAATATCGGACCAAGTTTGATATTGGAGGCCGATGCTCAAATCAGTTTACAGTTTAATCGTACGGTTTCCGTGGGGGGTAATTTATCGATACCGGATTTTGACTTGAAGGCCCAATTGAGCGGTCAACCTGAATTTGATGCAAATTTTAAGCCGAAATTTTCTTTTCACAAGCCGGATCTCTCCATCAATAAGACGGTAAGTTTAATCGGATCGTTAAAACTTCAGTTGGCATTAGAAGTAAATGCATTAGGCGGATTGTTTTCAAGGAAAGCGGGAGTGGAGGTAGTTTCGACGCTAGGGGTACAGGTTGACTCGAAAAAAGTTGTGGGTACATTAGGAGGAGATGTTGATTTTTTCTTGGGTAGCGAGAGTTTTCCGATAGTAAAATTTCCAAATTCAACATTTACAAAAAATGTAAAAAGAACGAAGCGTTTTCTAGGGAAGAACGGAAGTTTTGCTTCTCAGAAAATCAGTTACTAAGAATTTAATGTAGTTATTAGCACCTGAAAATATAATATGATAGGATAGATCACGTATACGAAATGTTGTACATTATATGAACTCATGTTTAACAAAGTGACAGAGAATAAACCTGTTTTTTTTTGTTATACAACATGATAGAAGTGCTAACGTTTTTCTTCTGTGTTACGTACTGAGACCTTTACCGAGTAATTTACATTTCTTTATCAAGTATTGTGTTCGTGAATCTCCTATTGTGGTTATGTGAAACACGAGCGTGAGAAGATAGACCATTGATGAATTTCTATTTTAAGATGAAAAAAGCATAAATGGTAACAATGACAAAAAAAATATGTGCTGATAGTTAAATTTTTTGTAGTGGTTAAACGCAAATGGATTCCATGAATTAACAATTTCTTTAATTTTGTGCAATCTTCCCTCGTTTAGTAATGAATATTGGTAATCATCAAAGGAGAATATTCTCCATGATAAAAATGAAATATGGAAAACATGCTGCAATAAGTTTCGTAAAACGTGATGCGTGCATTTATTATCATTATTTAAAAAATTATATATACAGTATATATGCGTGCGTGCACGCAACGCGGAAGTTAACGATCTCAATTTTACGTACGTATTTACGCACTGTCCTAACGAATATTATCGAGGAAACAATTGGGTCTTTCAAAACTTGGTTCATTTTCAAGTACGTACGTACGTACTTTCGAGTACGAGAATACATCAACTTGGAGGCGCGCGCACACGTGCTTTAATACTACATACTACAGTATTAATTATCACGTGATAAGTCGTAACAAAAGACGAAGCGTGTGCCATATGTGTACATAGATGTAGAACATGATTCGTACAAACACTGTACACCCTCCCGATGATGTAAAGTACGCGCGCGAATACTCTATTCTTAAACATCAACTTTTTACCAAGACCGTGGAATTGCGCTGTATGGTAACGACATTTACCCGTGAGGAGAGCTTTACAAAAGATACAATATCTATCATGAACAAATAGTTTGATTCTTAGGTAGTAATAACAATCGCCAGAAGCGTTTAATTTGGCCGAAGAAAACCATTGTTTATGGACCCCAAAGAAAGATGCACAAAGTTTTTTCATCTAAATATCCTTTTATGTATAAATACTGTGATTTACTACGCCATAGTTGAGTAATTATCTTTCATTTCACTATTAAGTATATATTCGTACTAAAACATCGTTGGCATTCGGTCAGCTGAGGGCTTTGCGATAAGTATTGGGATGAGTTCCGAAACGAATTTGATATTATATTTCCTCTGTGCACATCTAAAAAGATCATTTAAATGACTGTACGATTCAGGGTTCTGAAAATTATGTGCGCGCGTTATGAAAACCCATGATGAATTGACTTCGGTGTAGCCTAATTGAAATTTCCAAGTATGTCTAGGAAACTTTATGAAAAGTAGAGGTAATTTGCTTATAAATAACTGTATGAGTTCGCCGAAGTAATCATTAAATAAAGATCTCTATTAATAAATTCTGTTTAAAATGACTTATAAAATCTTTCAAGACAAACTTGAAACTTGTTTAACAATTGATTTATTTAAAAATACGCCATTTACTTCCTACGTACCTCCCCTCGACAGAATATAAGTGAAAGGAATGGTTGAGTCGTTCATAGTTTTCAGAAAAGTTCTTCATAATAACATTAAAATTTACTATGAACATTTTGAAGCAACACAGATTGAAAATTGCGAATTATCAAGAATTCTTGGAAATATTTGGAAGTCAGCACCAGAAAAATCCAAAAAAGAGTTCGCAAAAATTGCAAAGGATTTGAATTACTTTAATCGTAACCGC